ATGACTATCAGAGTTAGAAAACTCTGATGGCCTTTGATGGCCTTAGTACTTTCCTGCAAAAATGGTATTTTCAAGGTTACACATTATTGATCTGTATAACATTGTGTGAAAAATCTTTCCTATTGCTGACACTTGAAATTGTATTTGTTTTGAATTTCTAAAATTATATTTCAGAGGAAAGGCAGACTGGGAATTTGTATTAAAATGCCTGATGTGACCCTTAGTAGAAGTCATTCATAAGTTTCTATAAGAAAACACTCTTATTTTATAAAGGCTAATAACAAATTATGCTAATACATTTAGTATCTATAGGCTTCACTGTTGTTGGTGGACTTTGCTTTTTGGTTGCTTTCCAGTTTATCGGAAGAAAAAGGAGTTACAGTACGTAAGACAGATGGTAAATCTGAAAAGAACTTGGGAAATTCATGATTCCATGGTGAGGAGAGAAATTAACATGGGACAGAAGGGATCTTTGTTCTTCTAAAGATGGAGCTGTAATTGTCCAGAATTCACTTTTAATGAGAGCTTATCACGTGCTCATCTTGTTCTTCCTACTGGCATTTCTGTGTCACGTTGCCACTCCTGTACTACAACACTGACTGAAAGAGAAATGTAACCTAATTACTATGAAGAAATGTTTCATTTTGCTGTTTTCTTTAGAGAAACATGAAGCCAAATTTATATTACACATTTTATAATGGGAGATTATAGCATTATGATTCCCAGCAGCTTTGTGTCCCCTATCTGAATGATGTCTGCCTATGTAGGCTTCTGGCCAAAGTCAGTTTTTGACTGCGTATTTAAAAAAAACATCATTCCATATAAGTAATAAAATAAGGAAAATCTTTGAAGGCAAAAATATTAAATTCAGGAGAGTAACTTCTGCAGCGCTCATTATAGCTCTAACAAGTGGTTCACATGGACTCACAGTTTGTTTTATTAACATGAAATTCCTGATCTGATGTGTCATGTTTGATTTTCCTCCTGATAATGAGGCATGATTATCCTCAGAGTCACAGGGCTGTCACACTGCAAGAGTTTTCGTAAGGAGAAAGAAGTTAAAGGATTTGTCTTTAAGACATCTAAATTGTATATTTGGATGGAAAAAACGAAAAATAATCCAATTATTTGAGCAAAGATTCTCCTCCATTTCTAAGTCTGGTGGAAAATGCTGACAGCAGAGAGCTGCATAGGTTTTCATTAATGGGGAGAAGAAAAAAAAAAGCAGAAGAGATGTAGCTGCAGAAAGGAGTGAGAAAGAAGTAAAAAAACCAATTTCCATTCTTTTACTTTCAGACAGCTATTTTTGAAGATGTGACTTCATCAATCTTGGGAAACACTTTATGCTCCTTTTTGGCTATTTTGAGCTGTTGAACAGAGCTGATGGCAGGTGACAGCAGAGGAAGGTGGCAGCTGATGGGTAAGAGCTGACAGGCAACAGCTAACAGGTGACAAAAAATTTTCCAAGGAGCTACAACTTACAAAATACTGTTGCACTCCAGTTTTCTAATTACGCATCATTTGATTTATCTCAGATCCATATTGCCAGAACAGCCTCTACAAAATCATTTCAGGTTTTGTAGAGGTCCTTTGTAACTCATGTGTGATCATTAAAAGTTGAAACATCCCTACTGCACAGGGTCATGCAGACCCTTCATATACCTGGGGTGGAGAAACACTTCTGTAGAATGATTTTGTAGAAATGTAGAAAATGATTTTGTTTTGTGGTGACTTCATGCTTGGAGACTCTCTCCTGCTATCAGTAGGTAAGGGTGAGCATATCTAGCGGACAGAGCAAAAGCTTGTGATAAGAGTTCTTGGTTCTAGCTCTTGCTCAGCTTTGAGTCACATCACTTGTGCTCACACCACCACACTGTGATGCACAATGCACCCATCTCCTTGATGGGGAAGCAGGAGGCTTTGATGTGGTCCTGGTGAGTGCTGATTGCAGTGAGATCCTCTGATAAGCTGATCCATAGAGATTCAGAGCTATAGCGGTATGAAAGGGAACTGTTTAATAACAGCCCCCCAGTGAAGGGAACCAAAATCCAGCACCACTTTTTCTGAATTTTCTAGGTCATGATTGTTCACTTTCTTGTGCTATTTTTAGGAGACAAATCTCTTTCTTTTCAGCTCTTGCCAAGAGATAAGGCAAGCTTTCTTTGAGATAAGGAGGACTTGAAAAAATACCGAAGGCTGAACTTTTCCTGTGCACTTAAAGACAACCAGCTTCACACAGCCACATGGCAGGAAACTATGTGTGTATTATCTTGGAACTTGGAATTATCTCGCCTCCCATATACTCAATTTGGATGACAACTTCTTGACTCAGTAATGGATTTCCTGCCTGGTTTTTTTTCTCTCACTTCAGGAAATGCTAGCACTATGTAAAAAACCAAATCAAAATAAGACAACAAACAAACAAACAAACAAAAACAAACAAAAACCAACAAAAGCAATGGCGTGACAAACTGAATTTGCGGATGTGCTGATGGCATTTAGGAAACAAAAAAGTCAGGGACATGAAAGATACTTGAAAGCAATTGCTTATGACCAAGGGATATGAATGAATGCAGAAGAGACTGGTTGGGAATAGTGGAATCAAAGTATTGTGGAGAAGTTTTTAGCATGTCTGGCAGAAGAGAAGAGGTTAAGGCTTTCAGGGTTAGCTGGAATATCAGGACACTTAGAAATCTGAGAGGAGCGGTTACTGCAGTCTTGCTTTCATCCCTCACTTTCTTGTTCTGGGCCTAGGATTTTCATGATTTTAATTCTTATTTTGTCTAGGTTGCCAGTTTCCATTTCCCTCTTGGACAGAACTCAAATACAGTTATATCATCTGAAAACAGGTTTTAATATAATTCCAACCTATGAATTATCCATTCTTCCTCTGGCATAACATGTGCTCCTGTACAAAGTAGATTGTACCAATCAAAGACTGGAGTTCATGTTGGTCAAGGAAGCAAACAGAAAACTCATAGAAGGCACCCACGAATGATAATGAATCACTTCATTCTTTTATTGAATGGTGCAATACATCTTCTGGTGTAGTGTCATTGGCTCAGGTTGTAAGCTAATCTTTGTCCTTGACATCAGGTCTATATTCCGACAGTCCTATGAAGGGCAAACACTGACTGAACCTATTTGCTTTCATTAATATTTACGGAAATTTTATAGGTAAGGAAATATTTATATCGAGTATCAATACCAAAGAAGGTGCAATATAAATATTTCATATATAAATATGACATATGCAATTTTTTCTTAATTGTCTTTCAAATGTATTTCTTTTGGTATACGAAATCTGTATTTTTCCACTCTTAATGGCTTTAACCGCACAGGAGAGCTGTGACCTTGTTGAATGGAAAGTTCAGATTTTTGCTTAAATGCTTCACATATAGAAACTATCCACATGTGAAGCAATTATTTACAAAGGGTTTTCCTTTCCTTAAAGCAATAAACAAAGACAAGAGTGTTTTCAGTAGAGAGGATTAAAACCCTTGCTGACTATGAAATATTTCTCTTCTTTCATTTGTCTTTATAGTTCCAAATCTCAACACTGTGGAATGGCATTTCTGCTCTGGCAAATCTTTATAATCTTTATATTTATCTATAGTCTATCTGTATATCTATAAAAGACACTGAAACAGTTCATGATCAAAGATCAAGCAGTTTTTATAGTTTTTATAGTTTTTACGTAGTGGTTTTATAGTTTTTATAGGGGGTCTGCTGTAAGTCCACAGATCCATATTTAAGGTAAATAAAATAAATGGTATTGCTGAATAATGCCACTAATTTGTTTTAGCACTTAGATTTAAACTTTGGAACTTCATTATAAGCACTTATTGAAAGAACGGAAAAAAAAAAAGTAAAAAAGAAGAAAAATCTGGACTGTGAAAAGTGAATTTTAAGGTGAAAATTTCTATTCAAGGAAGTTCCCCTTACATGGATGCTTACACGGTGGGGAAAGATGGTGACACTTGTCATAGTAGCAAACAATAGAGGAATGTGAGATGCAGTTTAGATACTAGAGTTAAAATTAATTTAGAGTTGGTGTAAAATGAACTCTTATTTTCCTGCAGTGTTGAAGACTGGAAATACCAAAGCCAAATAGGAGGTGCTGAATTTGTAACTAAAGAATTAAGGACAAGGTACTGAGAAACCTCAGTGAGATATCCTTGTGGAGGACAACAGTATATTTCCTTCTTTTCCTTTACCATTTTGCACCTCCCAGATCATGGATCATGATAGATCAGGGCTCATCTAAAATAAATAAGTTTATTTGCTGCAGAGCAATATTTCATGTGTAATTAATAAAGCAATTTGGGTTATCAGATAAAGTAATTTATAAAACGAATTGAAAGATGATGTGTGCAAGTAAAAACTGCAGTGAAGAAACTCCCAATTTTGAAAAAATGTTCTTTATGGGAAGGAATACATGAGTTTAACCCCTTTTATTCTTGTTGTGGAAAATACATGGTATGTTATTTAAAAACAAAATTAAATCAAGATAGGCATGTTGATAGCTCAGTACTGTTTTATAACTATGAATTTCTTTCTAAGTATCATAGACAATGTCATAACTTGTCACAGCCATTTTTATCAAATGAAAGAAAGTGGAAATTTCTTCTATAAATGTAGATCTGAAAGCAAATGTAAGAACCATATTGATAATTTTACATCCTCTTATTTATAAATCATGAAGAAAACTAGCACATCAAAATAGAGTGGCATATATACTATTCACTAAGGACTTCCATCAAAACGAGGAGAATGGAAATATTAGGAAGCAAAACTGTGAAAGAAGCTTTAAAATCTAGGAAGATCTTGGAAAATATGCAAGTGCAGATTTTTTGAAATGCCCTATATTAATTGGGATTATAGTTTCTTCCTTTAAATCACAAAAGTTAATTAAGGAGAATTGCGTCAGTGATGGCACATTCATAGGCAAAAAAATAAAATCTTAAATGGCCAGCAGGATGAACTGGATTTTCACTTACGCCTACTTTCATAAATAGCTCTTGATTTCTCATACAGCTCATATGGGTCAGGTTTCCGTGGATCAAAGGCCTCTGTTGAATCGGGAAATGAACTCCTGTGAAGAGTGGGTGGGTAGGGAATATTCTGTGGCAGAGCTGGAGCAGATAGGCTTGTCTGAGGGCTGCCTTGATTCTCCCATCGTTCCATCACCTGAAATAAAAACAGACAGGGAATAAAGCTGTTTTGCAAAAACTGCAAGTGCCACAAGACAGCGATTTCAGAAGAAGATAAGGCATTCTGTTAATTATCAAATCCCTTCACCGTCTTTTCAGAGGAAAGATGTGCACTGTACTGCTTTAAAATTACTTGGTTGAATTTGTCATTTGTCTCTCATGGGAAGGCGTGATCTTTCTCAGATAATATGATCCTATGTGGATTAAGACCCAGCACTACCCTGCAGCATGTGGAATGTCTCTTACAGAATGCCCCGAGTTACTGGAAAGCACTCTACTAAAGTCAAAATTTGTATGACTGTGAAGACAAAAACTATCAGATTCAGTGGAATACGTAACTGAGGAGAGTGCTTAACAAAGAAGTGCCCAGGCTGAATTGCAACTGAATGATCTTAATGTCATACCTTTTGAGAATGCATGAAGATACCTAACTCCAATGGGAGAAATAAATATATTACTGCAACTGCAAATAAAATTTACAGCTTCACATGAAGAATATATAATCCCCACATGCAAAATTATTAGAGCAGATATTTGAGTAGCTAGTTGAATGATACAATACAGAACAAGGTGAGCATTACTCTGATGCAGATTTTCTCATTACTTGTGGTTTCTTTCTTCTAACAGAAATTACACTGTTGTCATCCCACCATGTTCCCAAGCACAGGACAAGTTTTTCTGTTCTTCCAGACCAGACTCCTGTTAAAAGTACACAGGAGTGTATTGTCTATTCATCAAAGCTACCTCAATTCAAGCTTTCTTGAAGACTGCCTTTATTGGTCTCTGAAGCACATCAGTCTAGAAGGGAGATAATATGCACTGTGCAAAGACAACTCAGGGATACTGGGGATTTCTATTTTTGAAGGAGCTGGCTAGTAATTAAATTCCATTAGCAAATATGTTTGAAAAGATTAAGTTAAACAAAACACAAACGTTTATCCCAGGCAATGAATATTTGACTTTGCCTGTTACCCTGCTGCAGCAAAGGCTAGCAGAGGCTCCAGAATAGTGTATTCTTTCACAGGGTCCAACAATCAGTTAATTCCACAAAAAAATTACTCTCAGAAGCAAACTGAAATGTAATTAAGTATCACCAGCTTCTAGTATTCATCAGCAGTGCTTTGTCAAAGATGACTGCAAGTCCACAGAAAGTCTGCTCTATAAATTGTGATTATCCTTCAGCTCCAGTTCCTTGTTTTCAGAAGGTATTTGGCTCAGCAGGTGAGCTTTACTCAGGCTTTTTCAACAACTATTGTGCAGACTAACAATGCTTGAGAGTCTTTATGAAGAATATGCCGAATAACTATCACTCAGCACATCCCAAAGTGTCTAACACTGTTAACTTCACATTTTGAAAGAGAATTCAAATATTGGCCATTTTCAGTTGTTGAGTACCTCATTTATACTTCAAGCTACATTTCTGCCAGAGTTTTTGAGGAAAGTAGGTCTGGATCATCAGAAACTGAATAAAAGGAAGGTGTTTCAGTAAATAACAGATGACTCACATACTTGCATGTATTGGATATAATATTTAAATGGAGAAGGAGCAGTATTAATGCTAATGAAGAAAAGGAATAGTGTATTCCAATCTTACCAACATTGTTCAAGAAAGAGGTGGTGTGTAAGATATAAAAGATAGTGTCTAGAATGTGATACCAGAGACGCTCTGGGTGAGTATATCCTATGCAATAAAATGCAATATACTTGAGTTATCATTGAAATAGCTTCAGTGCAGGAAGGTACCCAATGTACACTCTTTTGCAGAGCAATAAATGCATCCTATATTGAATAAATTAGCTTGAGTGGCAACTCACATGAAAATCACAATAATATTTCTGATAGTGCCTCCAGCTCTAAAGGAATTATCTAAGATATATATAAACATATACGCATGATATAATTATATTGTGGAAGTGTAAATTCAAAGGTTTCCAGAAACAAATTTGATTATGACCCAATGCTTAAGCTGGGGTCAGTACAAATTCCTAATATAATAACGGAGAAAAACATTTAGGGTTTGCCTTCAGTAAGGAAAATGAAAAAAAAATACAACTCAATGAATCAAACTACCTATCATCACTGTGAAGAGGAAAGATGGAAAACCCAGACTAGAAGAAAAAGTTTCCTAGTTTTTAGGAGAATAGCAGAGTAATAGAACAAACACTTACCTGTTTCAAAATATGAAACTGAATAAAATTAAAATACTTAAAGAAGATTTTAAAAAGAGAGAGGAAAACAATTAGCTTTGATGAACGAACTTTTCCCTGGAGGAAGGACAAGAAATGAGATCAATTCACAAAGTTCTACTGGGTCTCACACATTTAATTCTTGTTTGCTGGTTTCTGATCTCCAAATCTCTATCTCTACTGCTTTGCTATGGGTAGTACTGCTAACAAAAATAGTTCCACATGCAGATAAAGATAAGAGGAATTATGCTTGCCAAACTCACATCAATTAGTTAAGCAGTCACATAAAGTTTGGCAACGAGATTCACCATGATGCTAATATACAGATAAGGCACACTTGAAACTGTGTAAACATGGTGTTGTATGCAGTGCATGAAATCTAAATTGGGTAATGATTTGGTGACATTGCTCAATTACACTTTGAGCAATGATTTGAACCAAATCATTGTAGTTGCAATAAACATGCCACTATCCAATATGAATGGATGTGAATTTGTGCAGTTTTAGCATTAAAATACCCTAACACAAAACCAAGAAAGCTACAAAAAATTAACTCTAGACCTACTAATGTGAAAAGGAGTAAAAATTACTCTCAAAATGTCAATCTTAATCCGCTTATAAATAGAAATTTGCATGTTTTCTACTCCAAAGAAATGGCCAACAAGACTGGCCTCAGTGATGGTGCTTCCTGCTGCCTTCTCCAGACTCCAATTTTTGAGCCACTATCTTTTTGGTTCCTGTCATCCATCCCAAAGTTCCTTTCTCCAAACAGCACTCGGGAAAGTCCAAGTGCATAGATCTGCAGAGCTTATTAACAAGGCCACCCCTGATGCTGTGTCTCACCTAGAGTTGGGGTACTGCTGAGAGGTGTCTCACGAGCTGGGAACAGGTGGGTTAGATGAAAGTCTACACAAATTTGCTTTGAATGATAGTCATCTTACGAACTCAATGTGTATAATTTTGAAAGGGAACTTACAGGCTTTGGAGTTTTCCATGGAGAAAAGAAACCTGAAATAAACAAAAAATAACATTAGCAGATTTTTCTGGTGCTTAAAGGATAGAGGCTCAGTGGTGCCTTTGCTCCCATTCTCACACGTTTGCTGACAATATCAACATATTAAAAAACTTTGTACACACACAGGAAGAAATTACAATCCACAGGGGGTAATTTCTAAGAAAAATACATGTATATATATACATGTATATATATGTATATATGTAAACACATATATATATATGCATGTGGAGCCATTGAGATCATTGCCATATTTTACAAACAGCATGGAAATTAAAAGAATTAAACAGAAGAACTTCCAATTTTCTTGGTGGACATTGGACAAGACACCAAATGACCTGGTAGTAATGTGTCAAATGCAAGCACACCTTTAAGAAGAAGCAATTCAGAACATCATATTAAAAGAAATAAATCTAATAGAGACTGTTTTAGAGGCAATTGTTTAGAGAATTGTTTCATCCATCTAGGCAAGACAGTGAAGTCTTGGGGAAGTTGTTTGTGTCTTCTGATATCGTTCTATTTCTTTTGCCATTAGCAAGTGGTCACACACGTCCATCTCTTCTAAACAACTACTTACTGCCTTTGTTATCCACTGACTGATACCTACTGTACCATAGAATGGCTTGGGTTGGAAGGGACATCAAGGATCATCAAACTCCAACTCCCACGCTGCAGGCAGGGCCCTCAGCCCCCGCATTTAATACTAGACCAGGCTGCCAGGGCCCCATCCAACCTAGCCTTGAAACTATTACTTCTACTGTACTTCTATTTGAAGTACTTGTACTTCAAATTTGTACAAACTTGTACTTTCTACTTGTACTGTAGCTTACAAATGTTTGAAACTCCAGATATGTCATTTTTCATAAAAGGAGATAATTTGAAATACTAACTGTAAACACTATTTATCTCTTACACAGCACAACATTCAAAAAGTTAAACACACCAAGAATTAAATAAAAACAAGCATTTCAAAGGATATTGGGGCATATTTTCTAAAATGCATGTTTTCCACATAGCCTTCATAAAAAACAAAACAAAACAAAACAAAACCCTCATTCTCATTTTAACAACAGGTAAAAAAAAACCTGCGAGATTCCTAAGATTAAAAGCTCATGACAAATAGTTGGGTCAGAAACACAAACGTTGAAGGATCTAAACTAAGACCTCTCAGAAGAAGGCTGGTCTTTCATTCCAAAAAATGAATTAAGAGTAGTATGGACTTCATTATTTCATTTTCTAAGGCGAATTTAGAAAAACAATTAAAGTCACAAGGAAACTGGGAAAAGTATCTTTCTACAAATGAAAAACAAAAGTAATTGGGTTTGTAAATAACATTTAACATTCCTGGAATTCTGTGATAATTAGGTAATGAGTGCTTTGCAGACAAATACTGGCTGTTTTGTAACAAGTTGACAGTGTTTTTAAATAAAAAGTATATTGTGAAAAGTAATCCTGGAAATTTTTATGTTCACTGACTGCCATGTCTAGATAGAAACTTCTTTACTAAAGAGTAGACATATTTCTTCCCATCTGCAAACTCAAGCTGAGATAACAGATATCCTGTATAGATCTGGCTTGTGTGTCACCAACACCTGTAGTAGAAACAACCTTGACATCTAGAATGGCAGAAATTTAAAATTTTTCGTACCTGCTGTTGTTCTGTACAGCTAACGAGACTGAAAGTTAAAGAACATTTTTCCCTTGAAAGCTAAAAATAAAACTTGAAACTCGCAGGACGTCTGCAGAAAGATGCCTCAAATCAACTTACACTGATTTGGTGTTTAAGGAATATTTGTAGAGGTAGCCTTCCCTGCCCAGTGGTACTGCTGTACGTCCCATAGCTTATCATCAGCAAAAATTACTCCAGGTCAGATTGAAATGTTTTATTTCCTCCCCTGTTTACTTACTGTCTCTACTTAAAAATTTATGCTGCTGGACTTATCATATTTTTACTTGATAGTAAAAATTTCTGATAAGTATTTATAAACCAGATAACGACATACTGCAACATAAAATTGATAACATTTACACTCAAAACAAAGAAAAGGCAATGTTTATTCACACAGGATGAAATTATATTAAGAGAACTAATGGGTCTAGAGTGCCATGGAGGGAAAAGATCCAATGAGAATTTAAAGAAGTACTGGATATCCATATGAGTACAAATGCACATCGGAAAGTTGAAACCTCTAGAGATAACATACCTTGAAACTGATATTAAAATTAATTCTTCAGATTTCAATGCATATATTAGATCAAGGCCCCAAGTAAGATGAGACAGTCGGGCACTTGCCAAACACTAGGTGCTAGACACAAGCTCTAGTTCCATAATGTTCTTTCTATCTTACATATATTTCATGACAGTTCTAATTTTCCTGAAGTAGCACGTCTCCTCAGATGAACAGTATATCTTTTTCCTAATCTTAACAAAAGTGCCCTTCAGTCATTTTATTCAACATACGCTGATTATGGATAATAGATGTGAACCATAAATGCCCCAAATTATAACTGATATATCAATACATATGGCTACTGCTGCCAATGAAAAAATTTAAGAGTATAAATGCATATGGAATACACTGTAAGCATAACAGAAACTTCACATGGAAAAGAATAAAAACAAAATGTACTTTCCTTTGGGGTCTGTAAGCTCCCTTCTTTCACCTTTTAATATTATTCTACAGAACTACAGAACTGATTCCTGTATATGTTGAAAAATGAGGCTTGGAAGCTTATCTGAAGAATACATCCTAATGATTTGCATACTTAACCATGTTGGCCTTCTGCAGCCAGATATACAGCTGGCAGTGAGAAGCAGTAGATTTGCACTTGGTTTGGCCTCTCTTCTCAGTACTGCTTTTTTCCTTGGTTCCATTTCCTGCAGTGTTTTCTCCGAAAGAGATGGTGGGACCCTGCCTGGATGGCAGCTCTTGGCAGATAGACACCAATCCATTACTGATTTAGAGACAAGACTGAGAATTGTTGTCCAAAAAGTACAGCTTTCAATTTCTCAAGTATTCACACAGTACTAATGTTACTCAACCTTTTCACCAGCTTGCATTTAACTACATGCACACACAGGATAAGCTCTTATAACCTCCTTAATCCATTCCCAAATTTCTACTTCCCTCTCCAACTCCCAAACCTCAATAGTCCAACTTCACGGGATGCCTTCTAGAAAAAATAGAATAGCTGAGAACATTATATATACATACATGTATATACACACATATAAACACATACAGAAACATATACTTTAAAATTTGAAATAATAAAAGTCAACTTAGAGCCACCTAAATGTACTTCACACAATTGATTCTTCCCATAGGGCATTTCCTGCTCACCCACGTGTCTGACAGCCATCCCTTCTCATCATCGCTTTCCTGCATAAGCTGCATCACTTCCTGAATTATACCACATTGCTTTATTCATTTTAAATGAAACTGTAATTACACCCACTATCATGCAGTGAAATGTGATGTAATGTGTAACCATGTGATGATAAAATATGTAACTTCCCATACTTCTCCAAATTTACTTTTCAGTAAACAATGATTTATTTTCAAATAACGGCTACTTAAACAACACTACGATACAGCAGCTGTTGGCCAGCATCTTTATAAAAATGTTAATGGCTTCATTTTAAATAAATAAGTTGAGGAAGCAGTAATATGGTTTTTAAAAATCAGGATTACATTTCCTTGCAAAGCAGTGTGGAAATAATATTTCTGACATTCAATTATTAATTATATTTACCACCTTTCAAATTGAGCTTCTCTGCAAATCAGAGCAGGGAACTGGTATTACTGTACTAAGAAACACCAGTAACAGAAAACAGATATTGGATTTTAATGCTTTTGGAGGAAAATATATATTTCTTCCCTCAGATCAAGGAAAATTCTAGTTTTAGGCTGCTGTATTTCTTTTTTTTTTTTTTTTTAATGAAACTCTCCTATAGGAAAAAAACAAATCACATTTACTGTCTTTATTTCTTTCTAAATTTGATATACTAATTTAAGCATGCTTTTATGATAAAATATGATTATGAATTTCATATATGTTTTACTTCCAATTCAGTAAGTATTCATTGCAGCAAAGTTTGGTTTGCCAAAAGACTCTTATCAGACAAGGCTTAGAACATTTGCAAGATATAATCATACCTTGATTTCTTTATTTCGTTAAAAGTACTATATTTGGCATCAGTCCAAACATCAGCAACACAAAACGAGCCTATGGTTTTTAGTCTGCTGCCCTGTGCATGACTTTTGCTAACTTTTCATCTCCATTTTCTTCCACCAGACAAAGCAAGTTTCCTCACTACTTTGTATTGATTCCTGGAAAACTTGAGGCCTTGTTAAGTCACAAGTAACCAGTGTAAGTGTCACTTAGCCATAGGACCTTTAAGGATGTTCATCTCTGAGGCAGACGTAATTAAACTGAAGCCTGTGAACACCTTGATTTCTGCAGCGATGGCATGTGGTAATGCTGCAGAGAGGAACTTAGCAGTGTCAAAAACAAGACCTTTTCATCCAAAGCAGTATTCAGGGCATGTCATCTTCCCTCCACATCGCCTGTCTCGCTGATGATACAGTGAGAGTTTTGCTCATTAGCTTTCACTGGGCTTCTTGTACATTTTTTTCCTTCTTTCCTTTTTTTTTTTTTTTTTTTTTGTTGTTGTTGTTGTTGTGTGTGCTAAAAGCCTTGCTGCATATGGCTTTCTGAGCCAAGCTGTCCCAAGCACTACACACTACACAGACCTTTCTCATATAGATGTTTGGAAGTCAATGAACAGATGGCTGATGAGCACTCCCTGAGCATTAACTTACTCCACAGACATCAAAGTACCGGTGACAACACTTCAGCCAAAGTTTTCCTCCCTATAAAAGTTTCTGTATAAATTTACTGTCACAGTCGATTTTTTTCCATGCTTTTCCTTTCTTTTACTGAGATTGGTGAGAGTTGCCCACAGCATGCCTTAATTACAGAGGTTCCA